TTTCGAAATTCTCTATTTTTATTGAAATTTTTCGAAATTCTCTATTTTTATTAAAAATTTTCGAAATTCTCTATTTTTATTGAAAATTTTCAAAAATTTTATTGAAATATTTTCAAAATTCACTATTTTCAATGAAAATGTTTAAAATTCTCTATATGTATTAAAAAATTTTTGAAATTCACTATTTTCACAGATTTTGAATTTTCGAAATTATCTATTACCTGTTTTTCAGAAAATTATGGATTTTTTCTTTTTCAGAATTTTCGAAACTTTTTTTCTAAAAAATTATCAAAATATTAACTTCTGTGATAACAAATATCTATTTATAGAAAATTTTTAAATTTTCTCGTTTTATAGGTTCATTTCATTAATTGAATAATAACGGTTTTATTTAAATACTTCAAAAGAATTAATTTGTATCCATAGTTGCATTAAATGGCCGTGTTTACATTACAGATAATTCTCTGCTGACATGACAGCAGAGACTTGCGCCGATTCGGCTTAAGCCGACTAAGCCTAGCCGCCGAACAAAATGTCAAAGCCGCCGCCGCCAAAAATTTTTCAGCTTAATACGGCTTGAAAATTTCGCCATATTTTGTACAATTTACAGAATACTTTCGCTAAATTTGTGGAATTTTACAATATAAAATTAATTTGTTTTCATTTAAGCAAGTTTTCTTTTATCTAATAATAAGCCGCCCAATGAAATTTGGCCGGTGTAGAACTTTGCTCAACGTTCGATGTATATGCTTCGCCTCAGATATTTTCGTGTTTTCGCGCCTAATTCGAGTCGCTGCTTTGACTTCAAACCAGCTTCGTTGACGTCAACGGAGCTACACCTTTTTACATTGCTGGTATGTCATACCGTAAAGGGCTAGGGTATCGAACATGTGTATTTCAAATGGGAAGTGCAGTTGATGTCAATTCTGCCGACTGCGAAAAGAAATTCTGCTAGAATTTTTCGCGCCAAACTGTTTTCTGCATTTTTTATTTGCCACAAAAAATCTGTTGTTGTGTGTGTGCGAAAATCTAAAATGACAGAAATGATATTCTTTAAATAAAAAAATAATTTTTTACTAAAAATTGAAATTAATAAGATTGTATTCTATACTACTATACCGCGGGTCATTGTACAAAGAAACAGCAAGTGTTGGGTTGAATTTAGTTAAATTGTTAATAATTATGATGAATTTTTTTTAAGGCGGGGTTTGTTTTCGTTTCATACCCAAAAGTGTTTATCGAAATCTATATTTGGCATATTTGTGAGATCTAGAAGATTAAAAAATGTAAGTAATGGTGTTAATTAATTATTTATTTGTCTATAAAGAACGTCTTTCTTTTCAAGAAAGAGGAGGCATCATGATGGTCTCCTGGAAGAATGCCCACATATATACCTCCCTAGTCACCTAGGCGGGTGGTGGTCGGTCGGCTAGTGGTGACATGGTATATTATCACCTAGAGGCAATGAACGGAAGCTGATTGCCGTATTCAGGGGGTATCCTTGAGATACATACTTATTATTATACCATTGATCTCAGCAGAATCACGACCATACACCCATAATAGAGCGCGATGTCTGTCTGGTGTGCCTTTCAGTGAAGCTCTTGTTGTCTCCAAACACTATGGTGGCCGAATATTTACAAGAAACAATTGTTAAGCCGCCTTTTATACAAATTTATAGCTTTGTAGAGAATGTCTTCACGGACCTAGAGGAACCTGGCTAGGTATGTATATGTTGTTTGGGCAAAATATTGGTACTAACCATTGTGGGCTTTATGTCGACTTTAGGTCCCTTATAGTTGTCACACTATACCAAATAAGCATTCTTGCTGGAATTAAAGTTTAAAACAAGTTTAATTCCAGTCAAACATTCAAATTTCAAGTGTTGAAATACACTTTAATTCAATAGCATTCTCCAGTGAAAACGAAACTTGAATTCAAGTCGAACATTACAATGTTTTTACAGTATAATTCAATGCACGAAATCTATATACATAATACATATATAAAATTCTAACGTTACTGACTGACTGACTGATTCATCATCGTAGAGCCTAAACGGTTTTAGCTAAAGAGCTGAAATTTAGACAAGAGGTTGGTCTCCCACCAAATAGATCCACTTCGAAGGGATTTTTGGAATTTCGAATGATTAGGGGGTTAAAAATGGTAAAAAACGGGTAAATTCGGTAACCTCATATCTCCTAAACTATAAAAGATACAAAAACAGTTTAAAGCTTATCGTCGTTCATTTAAAAAATAAGCGGGCAGGTGTCTGGTACTTTTTTCAAATTCGGCCCCTTTGGGGAATTAACGGGTAGAAACTGTAATTTGGTACTTCTTTTGCACCCCATGTATCTTTTAAACCAGAGAACATTCAAAAAATATTTTTGAATCCTTCATAACTTGACGAACAAATAAAAATATGAATTTAGTACTTTTTGGATATTCGGACGTTTAAGGGGTGAAAATTGTACCTACTTTTTGGTACTTTTTTATAAAACATTGTTTTTGGTTTATTAACTTATACATATGAATACATAATAACGGGCTCCCAATACGATGTTGCAACTGGTACTTTTTTGACTTAGAACTTAGAAACATGTAATTAAGCACTTGAGAATCTATAAAAGTGGACTTTTTGGTACTTTTTCGTTCTTCAAAAGGTACTTTTTGAGTTTTCTATTCTTCGTTCTTCGACTGGTACTTTTTGAATTTTTTATAATATTGAACTTAGAAACATGAATTTAGGAATGTACAGCCCGGATTAAGTAATAACATATAAAAGGGAACTTTTTGGTACTTTTTCGTTCTTCAAAAGGTATTTTTTGAATTTTCTATAATATTGAACATGGAGTAAGTGAGAACATATAAAACGGGACTTTTCGGTACTTTTTCGTTCTTCAACTTGTACTATTTGGATTTTCTTTTATAATGAACCTAAAAACATAAAACTAAGCAATCAGGGACTTGAGTGAATGAAAATTTAAACTGGAGTATTTCTGGTAATTTTTCGTTCTTTAACTGGTACTTTTTGAATTTTATAAAATATTGAATATATAAACATAAAATTAAACACGCAGTATCCTAATTGAACGAAAATTTATCTCGCTTACGTAAATTTTGCAAAAAGGGCTCGATATCAATCGAAATCTCTATAGGCCATAGTTGACCCTGCTCCCTTCAATAATTGATTTTAACGTTTTCTACGTACTTAATAATACCATAATAAAACAATTTTTGTTGGAACGAAAATATGTAATGAAATCTTCTTCAGAAAATGACTTAAACGCACATAAATGGCTTTCAAATGTCGATGTCGACGAAATAAACATTTTTAGGAACCGAAACCCACATTTATGAAAGATAAAATAATGAGGATCGGTCCGCCAATATAACCCTCTTACAGAAAATCAGTTTATAGCTAATACATCATTCCAAAGTTATCATTATGATAGAATTATGGTAGAATTAAAAAAAAAATACTTTAAATTATATATATTATTGATCCAATTCCACATTTAAGTCCCTAATCCGAAAATCACGGTGACGTTCTTATTAATCTAATGATCGGACCACTTCCGAAATTTGCTTTTTTACGACATATGATTTGCCGAATATAACTCTTACTTCTTACTTATTTTAATCATAAAATACCACTAAAATAGGAATAGTCTTCCTTTAGAGTTGCGAGTTTTCATACATTCTAATAATGTTTTCAAAGTGAAACTTTTGGAATATTTTTCAATCTCTTTGTGATCCCTTTAAATGATGTTGTTCTGGAAGAACTTTAACATCCATGTAAACATTTTGGGTAATAAACTGGGGGACTACCAATGAGGGGAGCGGAACCTCCCATATGAATTAAATACAAAAATTCGTTTATCTGGGAAACTAATATAACTAAATTCTTCAAATTTTGCACGAACAACTTTAATATTCATCTGAACATTTTGGAGAAAAAAGGGCGCACTTTCATCTGGGGGGCTTGGAGTTCCCATATGAATTAAATAGAAAAATTCGTATATCTGAGAAACTATTAGAGCTAGAATCTTCAAATTTTACTGAAGAACATTTAGAGAATAACGGGCGGACTTTCAATGGGGGCTTGGCAATTCCCATATGAATTAAATACAAAATTTTGTATATCTGGAAACTATTAGATTATTCAAATTTTTCATAGATTAAATTAAAATCTTAATTAACGTTCGGAATAATTGGCGAAATTGCAATAATTTGCGTGGAATCTCCCATATATAACAAATTGTATATCTGGAAAACCATTGTAGTTGGAATCATCAAAATTGTTAAGTAGGTTTCTTATTTATATTGCTTTTAGGGTAGCACAGCACACTGGGTATAGCTAGTAAATAAACAAATAAAATATCTTTGTTTTTACGTTATTGATCATTTTCTTAATGCAAAATTTTTTAGAAACTGATTTTCTGCAAGATGTTTTATATGGAAGATAGGGTTAAATATCGGCAGATCCTAGTAAAACTTGGAGAAAGGATTTGTTTTTAATTTTTAAGAATTTTTTATTCATCCCTGCATAATTTCTCATGCAACTTTTGAGTTTGCTCTGTTTTGTTGTTATAAACAATATATTTGCTTCCAAAATCCTAGTTTCTGATCTCTCGGATTCCGTTTTTATTTAAAATCGTTGAAAAATTAAAAACTAAAGGCTCAGTTAGTCTCTACGTTCCGTTCCGTGATGAATCAGCTGATTCTTTTTTGGCTTACGAAAACCTGTGTAAGTGGTTAGTTTTGCCGTAACGTTGAAGTTATGTTGCGGATGAACCTGTAGAAAATAGATTTCAATCCGCAACGTTAAGTGACAGCTACAAACAGCTGACATAAAATACATTAAAAGGATATACTAAATGTTATGAATTTTAAAATTAAAAAAAAACGCGAAAAATAAAAAAAACGTGAAATATGTCAAAGAAAATATAAGAGTTGACATTAGTTTCAACATAAACGACATAAGAAAAAAAAGTCCAAGAAAGAAATTAAAAAAAATCGAGTTCCGTGTTTTTACTTTTTATAATTAACTTAATTATTAAAATTCGTTATAAATGTGTCCACTGATAATCATTGGTCAAGAAGTTTGTATATCGTGTTTTTAAAATAGACGACGAGAAATTAATTTTTAATTTTTAGTTTATAGCTAATACATCATTCCAAAGTTATCATTATGATAGAAATTAATTTTTTTAGTTGAACAAAATGATATTTTGTATAATAAATTTAACAAGGAATATAGATTTCTAAGGAAATGGGAATTCCTGGTAAGAATCATAAAAGTCTATAATACAATTGATTAATAAATCTGTTTCATTATACCCTACACCACTTTAGTGGGGAGGGTATATTGGATTTGTGCTGATGTTTGTAACATACAAAAATATTCGTCCTAGACCCACCTTAAAGTATACCAATCGGCTTAGAATCGTTTTCTGAGTCGATTAAGCTATGTCCGTCCGTCCGTCCGTCTGGCCGGCTGGCTGTCCATGTAAACCTTGTGCGCAAGGTACAGGTCGCAATTTTCAAGATAATTGGATGAAATTTGGCACGCACGTTTTATTTGACCCAAGGACGAAAATGGTTAAAATCGGTCCATTATTTCACCTAGCCCCCATAGAACAGAACCCCCCGAAAAGGGCTTCTGAGCTCATAATTATGTTAAATATACAGATATATCGATAAAATACGGCACAACTAAGTTTTATAGAAGTCTTGATGACCCTGCCAAATTTCATAAAGATCGGGCCCCATTTGACCCTAGCTCCCATACAAAGTCCCCTTCAGAAAATTACTTGAATGTCCCAAATTAACTTATAAACACAAATATCGCGATGAAATTCAGCACAATAAAATATTATGTAAATATAAATATATTCACAAAATTTTATCGGGCTTGGTCCATATTTGCCCCTAGCCCCCATATAAAGCCTCTTTCAGAAAATTAGTTTTTCATCCATAAATTGCTTAAATGTATAGGAACAAGGGAATATTGAAGATAAATGCTTTATTATGAAAAATAAATCACATTTAATATTCATAACTGGTGTAGGGTATCATATGGTCGGCCACGACCGACTATACTTTCTTACTTGTTTTTATTTATTTAATTGCAGAGAACAGAAAAATACAAATGTCTTTTCAATAGAGGCGCTAAATCTATATAAAATTGTAAATATATGGAAAAAACAACTCTAGCAAAGAAAGAAAATCAACTCTGGTTTTTGACACAAGAAGTCGGAGTTGCTTTTTCCGCTGTTATTCTTAAAAACAGCTGCTACGTTCTTACATAGAAACTAACTACACATAAACAGTTAACGGAACGTTACAGAACGGAAACGTTACGGAACGTAGAGACTAACTGAGCCTTAAACGTAGTTGAAAACTTAGCCGGCTTACAGTCGATTTTAAGCCGCCGCCGACATATTTAGTGTCAGTCGCCGCCGCCGTTAATATTTGTCGGCGCAGGGCATAAGAAAAAAAAGTCCAAGAAAGAAATTAAAAAAAATCGAGTTCCGTGTTTTTACTTTTTATAATTAACTTAATTATTAAAATTCGTTATAAATGTGTCCACTGATAATCATTGGTCAAGAAGTTTGTATATCGTGTTTTTAAAATAGACGACGAGAAATTAATTTTTAATTTTTAGTTTATAGCTAATACATCATTCCAAAGTTATCATTATGATAGAAATTAATTTTTTTAGTTGAACAAAATGATATTTTGTATAATAAATTTAACAAGGAATATAGATTTCTAAGGAAATGGGAATTCCTGGTAAGAATCATAAAAGTCTATAATACAATTGATTAATAAATCTGTTTCATTATACCCTACACCACTTTAGTGGGGAGGGTATATTGGATTTGTGCTGATGTTTGTAACATACAAAAATATTCGTCCTAGACCCACCTTAAAGTATACCAATCGGCTTAGAATCGTTTTCTGAGTCGATTAAGCTATGTCCGTCCGTCCGTCCGTCTGGCCGGCTGGCTGTCCATGTAAACCTTGTGCGCAAGGTACAGGTCGCAATTTTCAAGATAATTGGATGAAATTTGGCACGCACGTTTTATTTGACCCAAGGACGAAAATGGTTAAAATCGGTCCATTATTTCACCTAGCCCCCATAGAACAGAACCCCCCGAAAAGGGCTTCTGAGCTCATAATTATGTTAAATATACAGATATATCGATAAAATACGGCACAACTAAGTTTTATAGAAGTCTTGATGACCCTGCCAAATTTCATAAAGATCGGGCCCCATTTGACCCTAGCTCCCATACAAAGTCCCCTTCAGAAAATTACTTGAATGTCCCAAATTAACTTATAAACACAAATATCGCGATGAAATTCAGCACAATAAAATATTATGTAAATATAAATATATTCACAAAATTTTATCGGGCTTGGTCCATATTTGCCCCTAGCCCCCATATAAAGCCTCTTTCAGAAAATTAGTTTTTCATCCATAAATTGCTTAAATGTATAGGAACAAGGGAATATTGAAGATAAATGCTTTATTATGAAAAATAAATCACATTTAATATTCATAACTGGTGTAGGGTATCATATGGTCGGCCACGACCGACTATACTTTCTTACTTGTTTTTATTTATTTAATTGCAGAGAACAGAAAAATACAAATGTCTTTTCAATAGAGGCGCTAAATCTATATAAAATTGTAAATATATGGAAAAAACAACTCTAGCAAAGAAAGAAAATCAACTCTGGTTTTTGACACAAGAAGTCGGAGTTGCTTTTTCCGCTGTTATTCTTAAAAACAGCTGCTACGTTCTTACATAGAAACTAACTACACATAAACAGTTAACGGAACGTTACAGAACGGAAACGTTACGGAACGTAGAGACTAACTGAGCCTTAAACGTAGTTGAAAACTTAGCCGGCTTACAGTCGATTTTAAGCCGCCGCCGACATATTTAGTGTCAGTCGCCGCCGCCGTTAATATTTGTCGGCGCAGGACATAAGAAAAAAAAGTCCAAGAAAGAAATTAAAAAAAATCGAGTTCCGTGTTTTTACTTTTTATAATTAACTTAATTATTAAAATTCGTTATAAATGTGTCCACTGATAATCATTGGTCAAGAAGTTTGTATATCGTGTTTTTAAAATAGACGACGAGAAATTAATTTTTAATTTTTAGTTTATAGCTAATACATCATTCCAAAGTTATCATTATGATAGAAATTAATTTTTTTAGTTGAACAAAATGATATTTTGTATAATAAATTTAACAAGGAATATAGATTTCTAAGGAAATGGGAATTCCTGGTAAGAATCATAAAAGTCTATAATACAATTGATTAATAAATCTGTTTCATTATACCCTACACCACTTTAGTGGGGAGGGTATATTGGATTTGTGCTGATGTTTGTAACATACAAAAATATTCGTCCTAGACCCACCTTAAAGTATACCAATCGGCTTAGAATCGTTTTCTGAGTCGATTAAGCTATGTCCGTCTGGCCGGCTGGCTGTCCATGTAAACCTTGTGCGCAAGGTACAGGTCGCAATTTTCAAGATAATTGGATGAAATTTGGCACGCACGTTTTATTTGACCCAAGGACGAAAATGGTTAAAATCGGTCCATTATTTCACCTAGCCCCCATAGAACAGAACCCCCCGAAAAGGGCTTCTGAGCTCATAATTATGTTAAATATACAGATATATCGATAAAATACGGCACAACTAAGTTTTATAGAAGTCTTGATGACCCTGCCAAATTTCATAAAGATCGGGCCCCATTTGACCCTAGCTCCCATACAAAGTCCCCTTCAGAAAATTACTTGAATGTCCCAAATTAACTTATAAACACAAATATCGCGATGAAATTCAGCACAATAAAATATTATGTAAATATAAATATATTCACAAAATTTTATCGGGCTTGGTCCATATTTGCCCCTAGCCCCCATATAAAGCCTCTTTCAGAAAATTAGTTTTTCATCCATAAATTGCTTAAATGTATAGGAACAAGGGAATATTGAAGATAAATGCTTTATTATGAAAAATAAATCACATTTAATATTCATAACTGGTGTAGGGTATCATATGGTCGGCCACGACCGACTATACTTTCTTACTTGTTTTTATTTATTTAATTGCAGAGAACAGAAAAATACAAATGTCTTTTCAATAGAGGCGCTAAATCTATATAAAATTGTAAATATATGGAAAAAACAACTCTAGCAAAGAAAGAAAATCAACTCTGGTTTTTGACACAAGAAGTCGGAGTTGCTTTTTCCGCTGTTATTCTTAAAAACAGCTGCTACGTTCTTACATAGAAACTAACTACACATAAACAGTTAACGGAACGTTACAGAACGGAAACGTTACGGAACGTAGAGACTAACTGAGCCTTAAACGTAGTTGAAAACTTAGCCGGCTTACAGTCGATTTTAAGCCGCCGCCGACATATTTAGTGTCAGTCGCCGCCGCCGTTAATATTTGTCGGCGCAGGGCTCTGCATGACAGATAACTTAATGACAAAATTTCTTCATCTTGTTTGCTTTCGTGGTGGTATTAAAAAAAAATATATATAATAAAAACTTAAGCAATTAACAAATTATTAAGAATTTTTAAGAAAACTAAAAACAAAAAATATAACAATTCTATCAAAAAAGTAAGATTATAAACGTGCACAAAATGGCAAATTTCGGTTCACCAAATGATTTTTACACGTCAGGCCCGACAGATAATGCCTACAACTTTGATATGCCAGAATTTGATCAGGAATTGTAAATATGACCAAAATTTAATACAAATCAATTATGGAAAGATAATTAATTCTTATTATTTGCAGAAATTTCCAAAATTTCGATAATACTCAGACCTCAGTGCCACCAAATTATGACCTAAACTATGCCAATCCTAATGCCGGTGGTGGTGGTGGTAATGCCATGGGTTCATTCTATGATCCCAATGCATATGCACCAAATCCCTACGAACAGGATAAACAATTTAAAGCAACGGGCAGTGGCAATGAATTCGATGATGAGCCTCCCTTATTAGAAGAGTTGGGTATTAATCCAAGTCATATATTCCAAAAGGTAAAAGAAATATTAGGGGAATAAAAGAAGTATTATAATTTTTGTATATTATTTTAGACCTTGGCTGTACTCAATCCCATGCGTGGGGCCGATCAATCTATATTACAGGACACAGATATGGCTGGACCGTTAGTGTTTTGTTTGGCTTTAGGTGGTTTCTTGCTTTTGGTAAATATCATCATGTTGTAGTTGTGAGACAATTTAATTTTGTTTTCATTATATAGAGTGGCAAGGTAACATTCTCTTATATTTATGGCATTGGTGTAATGGGTTGCATAGCCTTCTACAGTCTACTTACTTTAATGGCTTCGCAAGCTAATGTAACATTTGGAGCCGTAGTTTCTGTTTTGGGCTACTGTCTATTGCCAATGGTAGTCTTATCGGGCATTAATGTTTTAATAACTATACAGTAAGTACCTATTGTGGAATATTTTTGTAGAAGTGCTTTAAAATTTTATTTTAATTATAGAGGAACTCTGGGACTTATTGTTGCTGGCCTTTGTATATTTTGGTGTTCATTATCGGCTTCTAAGCTGTTTGTTACAGCCTATTCAATGGATCACCAACAAGTACTCATTGCATATCCCTGTGCCCTTTTATATGGAGTTTTTGCTTTAATTACAATATTTTAAATTTTAGTTATTTGCTTTAAAAAACGTACTCTTATATTTTACCTTATAATCTACACAATTAAAAATTATGTATATTGTTATAACGATTTCGAATGAATCATTTTAATAAACAAAATTTGTATACCTTTGAAACAAGAATTATTAGCCCACAATATTCGTGGCTCCTCTTAAGGCTAAATAACCTTGTATAATATCCGAGGGTAGAGTTCTTATAATGCGGAATTCTTCAGCGTTATGATAGTGCAGCTTAGTTTGTGGATCTGTGTACGGTGCTTCTAAGCCGGAAATATCTGAATATTTTTTAGCAGGCTTCAACGAGGGCGGAGCATTAAGGGAATTATCTGAAAAAGAAAAATTAAGATTTCCATATGTAGGTCAAGAACAGCAAATAACTGATGACTTCACGATATTTAGCTTTCAATATGTATAGAAACAGATAAATGTATTTAATATCAATAAGAGCCCCTTTTTTAAACTTACATAAAACCACTTCCTCCGGCCAAGGCAAAGATTTTTCCTGTGTTACTATTTGTTTAAGGGATTTCCATACAAATTTCTTACCACCAGGTTCAATATAACTAAATTTAGGATTTTTAAATGTCAACTTAGGTCTTGGTTGTGGTATAGCTACTGACGTGGTGTTGGCCGTAGGCAAATTTGTTACACCTACAGAGCTCTCCTTGTTTGGAGTATTGGAACTTGTACTATTTTCAGGGTTTTCTTCTGATTTAATTTCTCCTTCATGTTCTTCGATTCTTGATTTTTTACAAGGAATATCTTCCGACATTTCCAGACAATTTATCAATTTATTGAATGATTCCCGAAAAAAATGACAAAATAAATTTATTTCCAAACTTCTAAACAATAACAAACTTAAAAATGGTTGGCAACTTGCGCAATTATATGATTGAATAATTCATTCACAATTGCACCAAAACAAATGTGTAAAAACGACCGTTTCGCACAAAAACAAATTCGCAAATTGCAAAGCATATTGTAAATATGTATAATTAACAAGTTATTAAATAAGTACTTTAAATTTTATCTTCTGACTTTAAGAACACAAAAGAAATTTTAAATGTTGGGCCGAACAATGCTCTTAAAAAACCTAAAACGTTTTCGTTTAATTACATTCGATATAACGGAAACATTAATAGACTTTAGTCGAGCACCCGCTGTACAATATGCCAAGATAGCCGCCCAGCTGGGAGTACATGTCATTGATCGCAGAAAATTGGAACAATGTTTTAAGAAAGAGTTCAAGGCCATAGAAGAGAAACATCCAAACTTTGGATTACATTCACCCAACTTTACCTGGCAAGACTGGTGGTCGCAATTGGTCTATAATATATTCCATTGTGTTGACCCAAACATAAAAGAAGCAAAACTAAAAGAATTAAGTGAAACATTAATAAAAGTGTACCGTACAAGTGAATGCTGGCGTCACATGGAAGGTGGCTTCGAACTAATTAAATGTGTACGTGATGCTGACAAGAAAATTGGTGTAATTTCCAACTTTGATCCCAGTCTAGAGGAAGTACTCAAGGAAATGAATTTATTGGATAAATTTGATTTTGTTCTAACATCTTATGAAGCTGGCTACCAGAAACCTCATAAAAATATATTCCAAAAGGCGCTGGATGTCTACAATCTACAACCGCATGAGGCTTTACATGTAGGCAATACGTACGAAATCGATTATGTTGGAGCCCGCAATGCCGGCTGGTCAAGCCTTCTGATAACACCCGCCGAAAAAGACGTACAAAAAGCAGCACCCACTCAAGGTTACAAAAACATTGCAGATTTATTAGTAGCTTTAAAAAACAAAGAAATTAGATGGTAACCAGATACGATATATAAATAGTGCAATATATTAATATGTACACATACACATATTAAAATACGTACGGCATATATTTAATTTGGACTAAGAAACAATGATAATGAAATAAAAAATTAGATTTATAAAGCTAATATAAAAAAAAGATAATAACTGATAGGGTTCAGACGACCAAAGGGTCACAAATATTTTTATGTACAATATACAACCTTAAACTTGCAAAATGTATTTTAACGAAACAAATAAATGACAACATTTAACACACTTTGTTGAATTATTTGATATATAGGCATATATATATATATATATATATATATATATCGTCACCTAAAACGCAAACGGCCCTATCTAACATTTTTAAAATTTTACAGGAGAAGCAAAAAACTATTTATATTGAAAAGTTTGTTTCAATCAACGCAATTTATTTGTAGTAAATAAACAAATTGTTTAATAGTGAAACCAATCATTTGTTATGATAGTTGACAATGGCGTATATAAAAATCGATAAATTGGACTTTTTACCTTTAATATTGAAATGTTTTTGTAGATAGGGCCTTTTGTTTCTGGTCAATAAAATCGATAAATTTTGTTAGAAGAGTCCAATTTTGGTGTGGACATTTGTTTTGATGCAATACATTAAAATCAACATTAAAATCGATTTTGAATTTTTGGTTAGTTAGGGCCGTTTGCGTTTCAGGTGACGATATATAGATAGATAGATAGATAGATAGATAGATAGATAGATAGATAGATAGATAGATAGATAGATAGATAGATAGATAGATAGATAGATAGATAGATAGATAGATGGATAGATAGATAGATAGATAGATAGATAGATAGATAGATAGATAGATAGATAGATAGATAGATAGATAGATAGATAGATAGATAGATAGATAGATAGATAGATAGATAGATAGGACTGAACTTGTCCTATTATCGGAGTCAGTATGCTTCAGATGACTAAATGACCTGCAGATACATATCGTCACCTAAAATGCAAAAGGGGTAACAACACTTACAAGCATTGTACCCAACATCGAAGTCAAAATACATGTCGCAATTCTTTAGAACTATATTGTCAAAAACTCCTATGTTATTGATATGAAATTCAAAAGGGAGTAACAACAAATTAGTCATTTCCATAAGTCGGAAAGTTCTAAAAAACAACATAGTGGACAAGGTCTGTCAGTACAGTCATATTCAAATGTGTTTATTGATGTTGGGATATAAATCTTGTAAAAAAATCGTTTTTATAATAACAACAGTTTTCATTTTATTCAGCTGTTTGTCTCTCCTGTAAAACGTTTAAAAGTGTTGTTACGCCCTTTTGCATTTTCAAAAATATTACTGATTTTTTTTTCATGTGGTCGGTATTCATAAATTATAAAAAAAATCAACCACTTTTTATTTTCAAAGTATGTATCAAAGAATATTCTTTGGTATGTGTTTTCAGATTATTAACCCACTGCAAATTTGATACACACTTTTTTGACAATACTTTTACGTAATAATGAATTTTTAATATTGAAAATTAAGTTTTAAATATATATTTCAATCTTTTACCAAAAAAAAATTCAATTGAAATATGACATTTCGCGTTTCATACAACTCATTATGCTTACTAAACACACTTCTGCTAGAATAAACGTCAATTTTGACAGCAAAACTAAACTGCCAAAATTTTACTTATTTCCTGTTTAACCATATTTCTTTCTTTTTCCAGTATCCGTCAAAGGAGGTGGGTGCAATTTTATTTTAGCTGAATGAAATACAATATTTTAAGTGTAGAATAACAAATAAATATTAATATAAAAATTTGTTTGTTTTTTTAGCACTGCTTTTGATTAATAAATCAATTTAAGGAAAATAACAACATGGTTGCCGTCAAGAAACAAGTAAGTTTTAACACGTGTGCTTTATTGCCATTGAAAACGAAAACTAACCAAACTTTTTTATTTACAGAAAAAGGCTTTAGAATCCACCAATGCCAAATTGGCTTTGGTTATGAAATCCGGCAAATTCTGCTTGGGTTACAAACAGACTTTGAAGACCTTGCGTCAAGGCAAAGCTAAATTGGTATTGATTGCCAGCAATACCCCAGCTTTGAGGTGAGCATTTTTCCCAACTACACGTACTAAATTGAAAAAATAGTGCATATGTTACAAGTGACTTTTATACCATACAACAAGGAATCATATGGAGTCTTGTCAGAGACTGAGAAGTATGTTTCCTACATATTGAAAACAAAACCAAAAAAGCGGAGGCGTTGGCGTTCAAATATCTGAATGTTTGAATATATAGTGACATGCTACAGTTGGTCCATCTAATCAAGACTTCCTTATGATGTTCCTGTTTTGAATGGTATACAAAGTGAGTTTTATTATGCATTTTGATTTTAAATTGTTTAGTTTTTTTTTTAATGATGAATGTATTTTGCAGATTTTTATTATGTTGATAATATTTTTATACTAGAGACTCTTTCTGATCGATCTTGAAAAATATTATCCTCATATGGAATTTATTTTGATCAGTATATTTATGTTATTTTTGTTGTTATCTTTGTGTTTTAGAAAATCTGAAATTGAATACTACGCCATGTTGGCCAAGACTGAAGTTCAACACTACAGTGGAACCAATATTGAATTGGGTACTGCTTGCGGTAAATACTTCCGCGTCTGCACCATGTCCATCACCGATCCTGGAGATTCTGACATCATCCGCCCAGCTGGTGAAAACTAAACGGATAAATTTTATAAATTTGTTTTTTGTATAATATTAAGAAAGAATATATAATACAAAATTTAATTTGTAGCTAATTGTCGTTTCAATATCTTTTTATAAATTTGAATCGATATATTGGGAAAGTGTAGGGGGCTGAAACTGAGAGTCAAATAGTTTGCAAAATTTATAAGATCGATAGATACCTACAATTCGATCGTCTTTTTGATACATCAATGGTAGGCCAATGAACCATTATGTAAAGGCCGATTTCTAAATAGGCGTTTAATGTACCGTTTTACTAAACTTTGGGCTAGTCTAATGTCTTCTATAGTCCAGTTCATTAGTGTAGGAACTAGTCAATGAATTAAGACTGGATTAATATATGGACTGTCATTTACAAGTCTATTATATAGGCTTTCAATTACTCTATACTATCTCATATGGATGCAATATACTGTATAATCTATGGACCAATCTGTTGACCAAATACACTTGTTTATTCACTATAGTCTAATGACTAATCGATGAACTAATACAAATGAACTATTAATTTTCTTCCCAAGATTACATTTTTATGCGATTGCTAAAATATTATACATAGTACTTTTTAATACACTTTGGCTTAGATTAGTCTATGAAATAGTCTTTGAACTAATATACAGACTATTCTAAAGGCTATTATATTATTTAGTGTTTAGTTCTTAAGCCATTCTATGAATTAGACTTTGAACTAGTATGCAGATTGTTCTATAGATTGACCCGGGGTTAGCCCATTGGAGGCATTCCAACATTACTCTAGTTGAAAATCTAAAATTTTTTGTAAATAACTGATATATCGGTAATATTAGAAGGTGATATCACTCTTTTAAAGATTGCTTTAATACAACTCTGTAATATACCAAACCATTTAACAGCTCTGTTTTGATTTGTATAAATTTTCTTTTGATTATACATTCGTAAACAAAGAAAAAATAAAAAACTATGTGCTTGTGAAAAAATATACAAAATAAATTTAAATATTTATGAAAATAAGCAAAATTTAAACCAAAAAAATGTCTCTGGCCACACTGTGCCGTTTATGCGTGTGTCCTTTCCATGATTGTAAACAATTATTCGATGAAAATGGTCAGTGCAATGAGGCTTATGATATAGCCAGCAAATACTTTGACCCAATGGTAGGTATTTATAAAAAACTAAATCCTAAACGATTTAATAAAAAATAACAAATATTTTTAGCTATTAAATTCCGAACAAGAACTCAACTCGGCCGTAATATGTCTAGAATGTTGGCAGCACATCAGTGACTTTTATAGTTTTCAACAGACTGTGTATACGGCACAGTCTAAGTTAGAGGATGTTAAGCAAATTGTACCCCTAATTAAACTCGAAGAAGAACTAATAGAAGAAACACCGATTGACAGTGGAGAACTACAAAATGATGTTTTATTAAATGATGAAGAACTTAAGGACGAGGAGCACATATCTGATGTGGAAGATACATACGACGTAAGAGATGACAATCCTTTTAGTTCTGATGATGAAAGGCCACTATTGGAAAGTATTAAAAAAGTGAACAAGAAAAAAACTAAGAGAAATGCAAATAAAAAAGAGGAATCTGGAGATAATATGGACAAGTCGAAAACACCTCCAAAGAAGAAAGAGAAACGCATTAAAAAGGAGACCAAAAGCAAAACAAAGGCTAAAGCTGCAGACTCAGAGATTAAACCAGAAGAGGCATCAGAAGATCCTAACGATTCAGCTAATAATAATGAACAAAGTGGTAGTCAAAATGAAAACTCTACATCAACAGATAAAATTAGTTATAATAAACAAAGAACATTGGAGAATGATGCTTATATAGCCGCTTGGCGCAGTGAATTGGAATGTGAAATATGTCATGCCTCATTTTCCAATTACACATTGCTGCGTAAACATTTTGTCCAGGAACATCCCGGGGAAAAATTCTATGTTTTGTGTTGTCAACGGAAATTTACCCATCGATTTCATATAGTAGAACACATACGCCTGCATATGGATCCCAATGCCTTTAAATGTGAAATATGTGGTCGCTGCAGTACTAACAGTCGCAATCTTACGAAACATATAAGAGAACTACACACTGAGGAAGGAAAACTGCGTCCATTTGAGTGCAACGTATGTCATAAATCTTTCATAAACAAGACAGTATTAAGAATACACATGGAAACTCATGAAACCAATCTTACACATATGTGTAGAGAGTGTGGCAAAGGTTTTCCCTCCGAACAAAGGCGTAATCTACATGAAAAATCCGTACACAATGCAGATCGGATTTGTGATCAGTGCGGCAAAACATTACATGGTCCCTATGCTCTGAAAAAGCATCTTCTCGAACATGCTGGAGTACAGAAACGTAAATGGCCATGCGACATCTGTGGTGCCGAATTACATTCGCACTCTAGTTTAAAGAGACACAAACTTATTACACATCACGATGGTTCCACCGTTTATGTATGCAGTGAGTGTGGTAAGGTGGCCACTACCGAAATGGCATTACGTAGTCACAAGAAAAATGTTCATCAAACTGAGCGCAAATTTAAATGTACAATATGTGAGAAAAGCTTTAAGTTTGCCATTGTGCTACGCGAACATATGGCTACGCACACGGGCGAAGATTTATATCAATGTCCCCATTGCACGAAAACCTTTAAGACAAATGCCAATATGCATCATCACCGCAAGAAGGCACATCCTAAGGAATGGGCCGAGGCGCGAATGAATAAACCTCAGTCGACAAAGGTTGATTTTAATTTGGTACAAAATGAAGTCGTTATATAAATGAATGTATATTAGGACTTTTAGAGGTGGAGAGAGATACCAGAAAATAACTTAAATACTTACATGTAAAATGGAATACATTGACTCAGTATTTGGAGGGCATATGGTTGGCTGCGTCATAAAACCACTATACTATAGAACAATTTTTTTGTAATTATGCAGTAAAGTATTTTTTCAATCAATCACCAAAAATATGGAGGGCATGATATTTTGTTTGTAACACAAAGTACACATACAGTAAGGGCCAGAGGAGAATTTTTACTAAAATATTCTCTGTTTATGAGATATCGGTCTATAAGGAAAAAGTTTTTATTCAAAATATATAAAAATCTGTAATTTTAATAAGTTCCCTGATTTGGTGATTGGTATATGATATCCGACACATTTGTTTTTTTTTTTTTTTTGGAAAGTTACCAAATTTCTGCTATTGGAAATTTTGTAATATGATCCATTATTTTTGCTAAAATGTCTTAAAAATTTTATGTTGTGGTTTTAAATTTTGGATAACAATATGTTATAGTTTTTATATAAGTCATAAACATTTTTAATAATTTAAATATAGAATTTTAAAATATGTACGTTTATCGCAGTTTCTTTATTTATGATTAATTATTGAATATGTTTTTGACTCCCCAAATATTATTTAAGAAGATTTGGCATCGGCGTCACTCAAATATAAGTTTGTTCTTCAGAGAGGTAAAAAATGTGATGTACCTATAAAACAATAACTGACTGAATCTTATACATATATGCAAAAATTTAAAAAAATAATTGGTTGTACCGGAATTTTGATCATACCTTTGATATTTACGAATCGATTTTGCTGATTTTAAGTAGAAAAATTTACAAAATGATAGAATTATTAAAGATTTGTTTCACGAAGATATTTGCTAACAACATAAGGATATCTGCTAACTTCGTAGGATCGGAAAATTATATATTGGAAATTACAAACGGAATGGAAAACTTATGCATAATACCAAGGATGGGTATAAAAATTGTACTAACACTTTTAAATGTCTGCTTTAAGCATCCCTGTTTTTGGACTCCAAGAATTTTTTTGTTTATATCAATTCACCGTACTGTTTTTGGCATATGTAACAAGGAATATTAAATATAAGGTAAATTTTTATATTAAAAAAATTAACGTAAAAATAAAATAATTTGTGAACCACCTTATGTGAATTTGCCTTAACCACCACCTTAAGTAAATTTGCCTTGAAAAATCTCAATAAAAACCAATTTCAAGTTTTGCAAATTACATTTTTTAATAACAATTTAATAAGAATACACAGCAAATTATAAATGTCTATAAGAACACTTTGTCGCTTATGCTTAAATCCATTCCAAAAAGATTATCAACAATTATTAGATGACACGGGTCAATGTAATGATACCTACTACATAGCCAGTAAATATTTTGATACAATGGTAGATTTCTTTCGAAATAATTTAGGAAAACTTTAAATAAATTTTATTTTTACTTTTTTTCAAAGTTATTGATAGTTGATCAGGAACACAACTCTTCCATAATATGTTCAATGTGTTGGCGGCATATACAAGATTTCTACTATTTCCAAAAGACGGTCTTTGAGGCTCATGCAAAGCTGTTGGAAGGTACGAAGGAAATTGCCAGAACAAAATGATGACAAACTGTTAATGGTAATAGAAAATACACATGTTAATCATGAGGCGCAAGACAACCGATTGGAAGTCTTTGATATAGTTGATACAAATGCATTTAGTTCTGATAATAGGAGGCTTATAATGGAAACATTTCATATAACGCTGGAAGATATGACGGAAAATACATTAGGTATTACCGTGGAACCCAAACAAATTGATGACAAACAGCCAATAGTAATAGATAATCGATCTGAGAAGAAAATTAAACATGAAGCACACACAGATGCATTTAGTTCTGATGATGAGATACACTTAATGGAAAGTTTTCGTCAGACTAGCCAAAAATACAATGAGCAAAAAGCCATTGAAAACGATGCAATAATAGCCGACTGGAGAAGTGAGTTGGAGTGTGTGAAATGTAATGCTAATTTTGCAAATTTCTCTTTATTGCGACAACATTTTATTAACGATCATGTTGAGGAGAAGCGCTGCTATATTATACCTATGTTGTAATCGTAAATTTGTTAGTCGTTACCAAATTGTGGAGCATATACGGCAGCATAGGGATCCCAATGCCTATCGCTGTGATATATGTGGCAATACTTTTTGCAACAGCTCAAATTTGGCCATACATGTTAGAGATGTGCATAGTGGTAAGGGTGGTAAAAAGCGAAGTCTACAATGTCCGAATTGTTTAAAGATTATGCTCAATAAGCGTTCCTTAATAATTCACCTAAAAACACACAAAACAAAGCGTTACTACAGTTCAGAAGAAGAACGTAAGTCCCATATGCATCTATTGCGCCGTAAACATATGTGTACACTTTGTGAGAAAGCTTTCAGAAGCCCACGAGATCTACGCGAACATATGACAACGCATACGGGCAAGCGTTTGTATAAGTGTCGACACTGTGAGAAGACATTTAAGCAATCTTCTAGTATGTATACTCATCATAAGAAAGCACATCCACAGGAGTGGACAGAGTCAAGTAAGAAAAGAGGCAATAGTCTTAAAAAGGAAAAAATGCAAATAAAACAAGAAAATATAAAATCAGAGCCTCCCAAATTGCCCGATAAAAATGATGATGCCTCTAATGAAACAGATGCTCATCAAAAATCCAAAGAAAACGATACAATAGCTGTTCAGCGCAGCTTGAAGTGCAAAGGCAGAGGAGTTCAAAAACGCAAATTGCCCTGTGATCTTTGCAGTTCACAATTTAAGTCACACTCCGATCTTAAACACCATAAACAGCTTGTACATAAATGTGTTACCGTATACGTTTGTAGTGAATGTGGAAAAGTTGCTAACACTGAATTTGCTCTACGCACGCACAAACGCAACGTTCATCTTAGAAAACGTAAATATAAATGCACAGTCTGTGAGAAAGCCTTTAAATTCGCACGAGTTCTACGAGACCATATGACAACACATACGGGCGAGCGTTTGTATAAGTGCCAACATTGTGAGCGGACATTTAAGTCATTTCAAGGTATTACTTATCATCGGAAAACAGTACATCCGCAGGAGTGGGCGGAGCACTGTTCAAACAAACTTCACAAACGTACCCTTCCATTAAAAAAGGTTAAATATAAGTGTACACTCTGTGAGAAAGTCTTTAAATACAAACGAGTTCTACTAGAACATATGTCAACGCATACGGGCGAGCATTTGTATAAGGGCCCATATTGTGTGCGCACATTTAAGTCAAGTCAAGGTTTTACTTATCATCGGAAAACAGTACATCCACAGGAGTGGGCGGAGTACCTCTCAAATAGACCTCAACTAACAAAAGTTCAATTAAATGAGGTGCAAAATAAAGTTATAATATAAATAATCTTTTTTTAAGCTTTGGTTATTATTTTAAATTAATACTTCGCTTTTTAATTATAGAACAAGATTTGCGAACTAAATTTAATTTATTAAAAACATCTGAGAGCCATTTCAATTCTGAGAGCCAAAAAAAAGTAACATGACAAAGATGTTGTTTAATCAGAGGTGCAAGTGATGATGAATTGGTTCGCTTTAGGTGAAACATGCAGGATTTTAACATTAGCGTGTCATTGGTTATCATGTGATTAGACGAATATTTCGTATAATCGAATCAATCTAAATCCGGCGATTAGAAAACGATGTTTCATTCCTTCAAGCTATTTGGTTTGTATTAAAGGTTTGCGCAATTGAATGATGGCGCAAATTGTCTTGTGCAGACCTTTAGTTTGTATGTATTTTTTGGAAGATATGTATATTAATTTTTTTTAGAAAAATATAATAAATATGGAACAATATTAATATAACATTAATAATATTAAGTTTTAATGAAATTTACGAACTGCGGAAAAGATTCAATTTAGGAAGGCATTTAGAATGAGTTCTATTACTTGTTCTTGCTGGGTAGGTGTACACTATGTGAGAAATACTTTAAAATCGAGATAAATGTCCACATTCTGAGTAGACTTAAGGCAACTACTAATATGCACATGAGTTAGCGGAGTGCCTTTATCCTTGAGATAGGCATGCTAAGCGTTATCTAACTCAGTTCTAGTCAAATCAAAATTCTGTGTGAAGGTGAGACGACCCACGCAGTGCGGCGTTCGTACCTATTTGATGATGCTCTTGATTTAATAAAAATAATTTATAAAATAATCGAAAGTGTATTAATTACTTTAAATGTCTGTTTTTAACATCTCTGGTTTTTGTTATGTTCTTGTTATTTTCGTGTTTGTTTTCATTTTTATTTGCGTAAACAAAATAATTTTACAAACATTACAATTTTTCACAAAAAAATAACTATAAACACAATAAATATAAATGTCTTTAAGTACTCTATGCCGTTTATGTTTAGGAACATTCCAAGACGATTGCCAACAATTGATCGATGACACAGGTCAATGTAATGATGCTTACGATATTGCAAGTAAATATTTTGATCCAATGGTATGTAGGTTTTGCTTTAAACAAATTTGAACAAAGATTTCCAATAGATCTTAAATTGTCTCTTATCAAAGTTGTTGATTGCTGATCAAGAACACACTTCTCCCATTATATGTGCAATTTGTTGGCGGCATATACAGGATTTCTACTATTTTCAACAAACAGTCTTTGAGGCTCATGCAAAACTGGACGATGTTAAGGAAGTTGCCTTAGATGTTAAAGTGGAGCTGGAACAAATTGATGATAAGCAGCTAATAGTAGAAAGTAGTTCATCTGCGAAAGATGTTAAACATGAAATAGATGTCAATCGAATAGTATCCTTTGATACAGAAGAAGATAATGTATTTAGTTCTGATGATGAAAAACCCTTAAGGAAAAATTCTGGTCAGGTGAAAGAAAAATGTTCAGCTAAACAAAATTCCAAAGAAATGGTAACTCTAAGCAAAAGCAAAACTCCTAAGAAACGTGACAAGAGTCGTAAAAAGCAAAAGTTAGAAACAACAGAGACAAATTTAAAAAGGGAAACTTCCATATTGTCGGATGAAAATGATGCCTGTAATAACAGTGAAAAAACAGATGCCCAACAAAAAACCTTAGAAAATGATGCGTTTATAGCTGCCTGGAGAAGTGAGTTGGACTGTGTGAAATGTAATGCAACATTTGCAAATTTCACCTTACTACGCAAACATTTCCTCAAGGATCATTTAGAGGAAAAGTGTTATATTGTTTGCTGTGATCGCAAATTTAGCAGTCGTTATCATATTGTGGAACATATACGATTGCATATGGATCCTAATGCATATCGCTGTGATGTATGCGGCAGATGTAGTACTAACAGCCGAAATTTGTCTAAACATATTAAAGAATTGCACAGTGAAGAGGGTAAAAGGCGCAGCCTGGAGTGTCCAACATGTTTAAAGATTTTAGCCAATAAGAACTCCTTAAGAGTTCACCTGGAAACTCACGAGACAAATCTAAACTACATTTGTCGGGAATGTGGCAAAGGTTTTCCCTCTGAACAAAAACGTACATTACACGAACGTTATGTTCACAATGCATCTCTTATTTGTGATCAGTGTGGCAAAAACCTACACAATCACTATGCCATGAAGCAACATCTTCTCCAGCATGCAGGCGTTCAAAAACGTAAATGGCCCTGTGATCTTTGCAGTGTAGAATTGAATTCACGATCTGGTCTCAAGCGCCACAAACAGCTAATACATCAAGATGGCTCTACGGTATATGTTTGCAGTGAATGTGGTAAAGTTGCTAGCACCGAAATTGCTTTGCTCACGCACAAACGTAATGTTCACACATCAGGACGTAAACATAAGTGTACACTTTGTGAAAAAGCCTTTAAATTTCCTAGAGTTTTGCGGGAACATATGGCAACACATACTGGGGAGGATTTGTATAACTGTCCGCATTGTGAGCGTACATTTAAGACAAATGCTAATATGCATCATCATCGTAAGAAAGCACATCCGCAGGAATGGGCGGAGGCCCGTCTAAATAAACCTCAAGTTACAAAAGTTGATTTTAATTTGGTGCAAAAGGAAGTTGTTATATAAGGTTATCATAATTAAAATAAAAATGAATGTTTAAACTAAATTTGTAGAAAATTTGAAGTAATTTAATCATCCTTGGTAGTTTAACAATATTTTTAAACATCAAATCAGGAAGTTTTCTTTAAAACATTAGTTAAAAATAAATATGATATCAAAAGTTTATAAAAATATTGGAAAACTGAAAAAGTACCTTTTTATCCTTTGATCCAGTTAACCAAATATTCATTCAGTGTTCAAATGAAATAACATCCTTTAATTAGGATAGCAAAGCACTTAGGGTATCCTAGTAAAACATAAGACTTTGTTTGCTTTTCTACATCATTAACCATCAAAAAGGATTTAATATGGAAGTACTACGTACAAATATACCCAATGGATATTATTTTAAAACAAATCGAAATAGTATTGTATAACATTACAATTTTTTCCATAAAACATTTAACTGTGAATACAGAATAATATAAATGTTTTTAAGCACTCTATGCCGTTTATATTTTGTAACTTTCCAAGACGATTGCCAACAATTAATCGATGATACAGGTCAATGTAATCATGCTGATGCGATATCGCCAGTAAATATTTTGATCCAATGGTAGGTTTCTAATTAACAATTAAAAAAATGCTATAAATGTAATATTGTTTTTTATCATAGTTGTTGATTGCTGATCAAGATCACAATTGTTCCATTATATGCGCAATTTGTTGGCGGCATATACAGGATTTCTACTATTTTCAACAAACGGTTCTTGAGGCTCATACAAAATTGGAAGATGTAAATCTAACGAAACAGTGTCACCTAACAAAAGTAAAACTCGTAAGAAAGTAGACAAGGGTAAAAAATTTATATTACAGAGAAAAATCTAAAATCAGAACTTTCCAAACTGTCTAATAACAATGATGATGACTGTAATAAGAAAATAGATGCCCAACACAAAACTTTAGAAAACGATGCGTTCATAGCCGCTTGGAGAAATGAGTTGGACTGTTTTAAATGTAATGCCAAACTTGCAGATTTCACTTTACTACAGAAACATTTTCTCAAGGATCATTCAGATAAAAAGTGCTATATTGTTTGCTGTGATCGCAAATTTAGCTGTTATCATATTGTGGAGCATATACGGCATATATGGATCCCAATGCCTATCGGTGTGATGCCTGTGGTAAATGTAGTAAAAATAGCCGAAATTCGGACCAACATATTAAAGAGTTGCACAGTGAAGAGAGTAAACAGCGCAGCCTGTTTACTCTCTTCACTGTGCAAACCCACGAAACAAATCTAAACTACATTTGCCAGAAATGTGGCAAAGGTTTTCCCTCTGAACAAAAACGTACGCTACACGAACGATTAGTTTATATAAACCTTTAAGACAAATGCAAATATGCATCATCATCGTAAGAAAGCACATCTGCAGGAATGGGCGGAGGCCCGTCTAAATAAACCTCAAGTTACAAAAGTTGATTTTAATTCGGTGCAAAATGAAGTTGTTATATAAGGTAGCTATAATTATAATAGAATAAAAATGTATGTTTAAACAAATTTAATTCGATTTTTAAACTGTTCGTCATTGGGATTTAGCAATTTGTATACCATTCAATTTCATGAGAACCATTCACTGCTTCTAAAAATATGATTAGATGTAGTTCAAAGATGTCAAAAATGAACAACATACCTAATGACACGGTAATGTAACATTCATAGGTTTTCACCAATTTGAAGCACTTCGGGTTACACACTTTTTTTGCTGGGATTCAATGAACATAAAAAAATTTAATAATTTAAAGACATGGAAAATACCGTCTCCTATTTTTGATTTCGTCTTGATCTTAATGATGATTTAACTTGTACCTAACCTAATAGTGGCACAAAATTTGAATTGACATTCACATTTATAAATGTACCCTGATCACTGATATGCATATGTATGTAAGTGATTGTAAACAAGTTTGAAAGCTTTTTATAACTGTAATCTTCTTTTTCTAGTTCCTTTTTGTAAAAGTTTCGTTTTGTTTTTAATTACGTGCAAAAATCGTGTGTTAAATGCGCACAGGAAATATTGTGCAATTTATTAAAGTGGATTTTTTCAACATACAAACATTTACCAATTGATACGCTTTTTCTAATTATGAATCAAACTGCCTTGTGTCGTTTATGCATACGTTTATATAATGAATTTATAAATTTATTCAATGATAATGGCCAGAGCAATGAAGCCTACGATATTGCCGTCAAATATTTTGATCCCATGGTAAGTGATGATGTTTTTTCTACATACTTTTTTAACAGTTTGTTAATATGTATCATAGACTATCTATATGAATGTAGGTAGTATATGTCATAGATCGTTACAAATTGTTAGTTTAATTGTTAAAATACTTTTCAATAAGATAAAAAAAACCTTTTGAACTTTCAATAGCCTAACCTCAAATTTATGAAGGGTACCTATATTTTTTTGTATCGCCTATTTATACCCTACACCACTTTAGTGGGGAGGGTATATTGGATTTGTGCTGATGTTTGTAACGCACAATAATATTGGTCCTATACCCACCTTAAAGTATACCAATCGGCTCAGAATCATTTTCTGAGTCGATTTAGCTATGTCCGTCCGTCTGTCCGTCCGTCCATGTAAACCTTGTAATCAAACTACAGGTCGCAATTTTGATGATAATTCAATGAAATTTGGTACATGATCTTCTATTGTCCCAGGGACGAAGCCTATTGAAAATGGTTAAGATCGGTCCATTATTTCACCTAGCCCCCATACAACTGAACCTCCCAATAGGGCTTGTAATCCTTGTAATCAAACTACAGGTCGCAATTTTGGAGATAATTAAATGAAATTTGGCACATGATCTTTTATGGTATCGTAGACGAAGCCTATTGAAAATGGTTAACATCGGTCCATTATTTCACCTAGCCCCCATACAACTGCACCCCCGAATAGGGCTTTTAAAATTAGTAATCAAACTACAGGTCGCAATTTTGGAGACCTGTAGCCCTCGAATAGGGCTTTTAAAACTTGTAATCAAACTACAGGTCGCAATTTTTGAGATAATTCAATGAAATTTGGCACATGATCTTTTATGGTACCGTAGATGAAGCCTGTTGAAAATGGTTTACATCGGTCCATTATTTCACCTAGCCCCCATACAACTGAACCCCCGAATAGGGCTTTTAGGTTCATAATTATGTTTAATATACTCATATCTCGACAAAAAGCTGCAAAAACCAATTTGTATACAAGACTTGATGACACCCACGAATTCCATAATAATAGGTTCTCATATAACCCTAGCCCCTATGAAAAGCCCCCATCAAAATTTCACTTAAACGTCCACAATTTTATTCAACAATAAACGGCTTAAGTATGTATATCTAAGGTAAGGTACAATTCAACTTAAATGCTTTATTATGGCAACTAAATCACATTATATTTTTGTCAAAGGTGTAGGGTATTATATGGTCGGCCTCGCCCGACTATAATTTCTTACTTGTTTTTCTAATATGTGCGATGTTTTGAATAATGCTCTAATTTTATTATAAACTAACGCTCGTTTATTATATAAACGTAGAATTAAAATAAGTTCCCATATTTACAATTATCATTTGTTTTGTGTATTAATCACCAGTTATTGAAGCCGCAACATGAACATGACACTACCTTAATTTGTATTGTATGTTGGAGTCATATCAATAATTTTCACAATTTTCAAAATTCTGTTCTAAATGCGCAAGTGCAATTAGAAAACAGTATGGAACATATACCAATGATTAAGCTTGAAGATGAAGCCTGGATGGATCAAATAACTATTGTCGATAATGAAAATAATACATTTACAAATACGAATCATTCATATGTATATAGTAAAGAAATTGAAAATCATGAAGTAGCTTCCTCCAGTAGAAACAACGAATGTAAACCTAATCTAGATAAAACCAAGGAATATGAGATGTTAATAAAGAAATGGAAAGGCGTTTTGGAATGTGATTTATGTCACTATAAATTCAAAAACTTTAGTGATTTACGTCAACACTTTCAACAGCAACATCCTAGAGATAAATTCTATATTAACTGTTGCAAACGTAAATTTTACAATCGTTATGACATGGTTGAACATATACGAGTACATTTAAATCAGAATACCTACCAGTGTAATATCTGTGATAAAACATTTTCTTGTAATCGTAATTTAAACCGACATATACGACAGGTACATATTGAAAAAGTTCAGCGAGTGTTTGAATTAATGAACAATACCAACAAATCTATAAAATATCATCCTCCTATGGGTTTATTAAAGGCAGAAGAGGAGAATAAAATAAATAGCAAAAAGACCTTTACTAGGTCGACCAAAGTACCACGTGGGAAAATAAATATCACCCCACAAACTGATGACAAAATTGCTGGCAATTTAGAAGTGAAAAAACAACGACAACATCATCACCAGGATCTGAAATATTTTCAACTTAAAATTTCTTCAAACAAAAAAACTACATTGGAATATGACACACAAATAGCCGAGTTAAAAAGAGTATTAGAATGTCCTGTCTGCCGGAGAAATTTTCCGTATTATACTTCATTACGAGAACATTTCCAAACGGAACATCCTGAAGAGAAATTTCATATAATTTGTTGTCAACGTAAATTTGGCAATGGCTATCAAATATATGAACATTTTCAACTCCACAATAATCCCAATGCATTTAGATGTGAAATTTGTGAACACACCTTTTCCCGGAGCGCCAGTTTAACCCGACACATACGGGAGTTACACATGCAAAATGTTCAATGGTCATGTGATCATTGTGGTGTTAGTTTTAAGTCTTGCTCGGTTTTGGGAAGACATAAAAAGAGATGTTTTGGAAAAATGTGTAAAAAGTTGCAGCCACAACATAAATTGGAATGTCTTAATGTAACGGATAATTATGTTGGTGCAACGTTTTCAAATTATACTTTAATGCAAATTGCACCGTAAGCATAATAATGTTTGAAAATTTCTTTAGCCACACATAGAAATTCTTGAAATACTTTTGTGAATTATTTTTTATTTAAAAGTTTAAATAAAATGAAGAATTTTTGTACGTTTTCTTTAAAATATATGATTTTAGTTTAATTAAACAGTATACTGTATACTATAGGCTAGACTATAGACTTTAATAAATTATATATTATACCCTAGACTATAGATAAGCCTATAGAATAGACTATAGATTAGACTATGGACTAGACTATAACATAGACTTTATATTTTTCAACTATGGTTTACCCAAATTATGAACATGTTATCTTTAAACTTTTATATCTTTATTACAAAACAATTATCTTTGAAATCTTTTCAGGATCCACCTTTAATCTAGGTGTAGATTTTCTATGTTTTTCATATTCCTCGGGATGAGTACGTTTGCGATGATTCAACATATTCGAAGGTCTCGTAAATTTTTTATTACAATCCGGACATTTAGACAATTTTTCCTTTGTATGTATTGACATGTGCCACTCCACGTCTCGTGAATTGCTAAATGCTTTTCCACACACTCTACACTTATAATTCTTTTTAACTTTAACATGTACATTACTTTTATGTGCCATCAAGGCTGTCTTAGTGTACGACACTTTACCACAAAGGCTACAAATGTATTCGGTGGTACCATCATGATGCATTGATGCATTATGTCTATTCAAATTAACCACACCGTAGAGGACTTTATTACAAATTTCGCAGGTAATTTTTTTTCTGGACTTTGCGTTTATCCGTGCATTCATAACGGCAGGTTTTGTCTCACAATCCTTTATGTCTGCATTGTGAGTCTGTTTAATATGCTGGTTCAACTCTTTCATTGAGGCATATTGTTCGTTGCAATGTGGACATGGAATACTCTCTTTTTTGGGCTCATTATTTTTACATAAGCGCTGTTTATGTAATTCTAAACTTCGTTGTGTTGTTTTACGGTCACCGACGTGTAAACGTCGTAAATGCTTTGCCAGGTCTGCACGTTGGGCAATTTTCCTCTCACAACAATTTATATAAAATCGCAGCATCGCATGACGTTGTTTAAAGTGTTGGCGCAATAAAGTGAATTTTTTAAAGGTCTTACGACACTGATAACATTTAAGTATCGGCAAGATTTTACTAATATAATTGTCCAGTTCTTCTATTTTTTTTAAGCGAGATTCCTTTATATTTCCATCCTGATTATTCCTATTTAAATAAGTATCCTTTGAATTCTTATGCACGCTCCTCATGTGATTGTCTAAATTTCGTTGGGTTGCCTTTCGTTCGCCACAAATAATGCATTTGTAAAGGTCAGGATTGATGTGGAGATTTATGTGATGCACCAGCAAAGAACGTACGGAAAATTTCTTTTCACAACAAGTAACATAAAACTGAAGTCTTGGATGTTTTTCCCTAAAATGTGTCCGTAATAAAGAAAATTTATAGAATATTTTGAAACATTTATGACACTCCAGTTTTGGCATGTAATCGGCAATAAAATTTTCCATTTCTTCATTTTTATTCGGGCTTGATGCTTTAGAATTTTCATCCTGCATGCTATTTGACTCAACCGTTTCTACAATTTCATACAAATTAAATGCTACATCATCGATAACTGGCTGATTTAAATCATTTTCATCTTTGATCGTTATAGTTTTGTATTCAATTTGACCTTCATTAGAATCGCCAAAATCTTCAGTAATATGTTCTATTTTAGTATGAAAAAGATTGTTATTTTTTAATTTAAAGTTATCGTGAGCATTATATATATTTCTTCTGAATTCATGGAAATCGACAATGGTATTCCAACATTTTAAACATATAATACTTTTTTCAAGTGGATTCTCTGCTATCAGCATCTGCAAGTAAAGATTAATTAACTACACTTTTCTATAATTAAAGAAGTCGGTAAAGTCCAACCCTATATTTATATATGATCATTTACGAAAATAAAGTATTCTAATAAATCAGCTATATGTTTTCTAGAAAACATATAGTTTTGGACAAAACAAGTCAATACCTATTATTACCTCTTTTGGAAAATAGGTTTCTACTATATTAAAAACTGCATTTGATTTATCATTGGTTCCAAATAATTCATGATATTCATTGATGGTTGTTTCATTACACAAACAACATGTTTGGGTCCCTCCAGACATGATTAGAATATTTGGATATATTTTGTTTTATTTGTAAATTATGAAAATTTCTACTAGCTTTCAATTTGAGTGATATTTACTATTTATTTTCTTGTTTACATTATATCTTTGTTAAAAAACACATCGAGTCTCATTCGTGTTTTTATGTGTTTTCGCGACATACTTTATACATATTGTATGTACATACATACATACATACATACATACATATGTACATATATAACTTTTCTTGTGTCTTCAGCTCAGAAATTTCTTCTTTTGTTAATAAATATTTAACTTCCCTATAAGAACAGTGACAGTCATTTGACCGGTCAATTGACTGTCACTACTGAGAATATACCCATCATTGCGTAGAACAAAGCTCCCATCACTTTCTTAAGGGCAATATCAAAGTAAATTAATAAAGTAGCATCACTTGAACAGCTGACTATTTTTTTTAAACTAGATCAAAGTATATTAATAAAGTAGCGACATCTCTTGTTGTACAACAACATCTACAACAACCACATGTATTTTGTTTTTGGAAAATTTAAGATTGTGTCAAAATAAAATTTCCTTGAAAAACAATGTATGAAAGGGCTGATGCTGCTGCTAAAAATGCTACTTCTATTGGTGCTGAGTTGGTAGTTGACCTCACTGCTGATGAGGCTATTCGTTGTATACGTGATTGTCTATATGAGGATTGGAATTCTGAATATGTGGAGCTTTCTCGTGAGAAGGGAAGGTTTTTTGCTAATATATATCCTAATGTACCGAGAAAACCCTGGTTCTATGGAAATCATGGGCTTGAACCTGCTGCTGTTAAAATTCTTAATAGACTTATGACTGGACATACTTTTGGTAAAATGTATTTGAACAAAATTGGTGTAATTGACTCTTATCTTTGTGATGTGTGCAATGTGAACGAGACTTCTGATCATATTATTTTCAAATGTACTAAATTTGACAACTTGAGGCGCAAATATGGCTTTTTCGACAAGTACTATGATGTTTCTTCCCTTCTGAAATCGGGTGACTTTAATGTTTTCAAGTTACTTTTTGAATTTCTGAGAGATGCCAAAATAGACCTGTAGTCTGATTATGATGATTCAATGATGTAAATTTTCTATTTTTGTGGGATAACCTGGCAGTTTGTGAGTTTATTACTCCGCCAACACACTTCAAAGTTGAAAAAAAAAAAAAAAAAAAAAAAGAAAAACAATGTGAACAAAACATAAATAAAAAATATTACTTTTAAGTTAAAGATATTAACGATTTAATTATATTATTATATATTATACAATTTATTACACTTTTAAACTACTTTAAAACCACTTTTAATTCACTTTTTCAACTTTTCACAAATTTTAACAAATAGCAAAACACAATTTAAAAATGGCGACGTAAACAATGTTAACAATTTTCAAAACAAACTTTGACAATTTGCTTCATTTATCTAGTTCAAAGTATATAAATACAGTAGCATCACTAGAACAGCTGACTATTTTTTTTAAAGCTCGATAATGAATGCAAGTTGTCAAACTGTATTTTGACAATTTGTAATTTAAGCACTGTTGCCAACTTTTTTCCCAAAAATATCGCTAAAGTCGACTGAAAAATAGCTAGAAAATAGCTAAATTCAAGACATTTTGAAAAATTTAGCGATAAATCGTCAAAATAATATTTATTATATGATTCTGAAAACAAATAGCTAAAAAAACTAGCTAAATTTTTCAGATTTTTTATATTATTCTAAAAAGTCAGCGATTTATCGCTAAAATCTATATACATACGTAGGAATGGGATAGTGATACAAACACGTCTTATAACAAACACATAAGAGAATCTTTTTTTATGTTAAATATTTTCACTTTTGGTTAGGAAAAATGTCAAGTTGAGGTTAATTTCGATATACGACCCTATACAGATTGCTTTAGAAATGTTGTAAAGATAAATTGAATTTCGAAATGCTGGCCTTTATGGATCGATCCTTTATTTTCAGCATAAGAGTATTATTTATTTTTCCATTACAATACAATTACAAATTATATTCTTACCTAATTTACCGAGCAGGGTGACGATAACCATACGACCGTTGTAGTGTAGCAGACCAGGATCTCTGCTGGAAATCGAACCCACAACCCTCAGACTGACAGCTAGCACACTACCAACTAGCCTACCGGGGCACCCAAGATTATTATTATACACTCCTTTTGTGGGAAGTTTATCTGCAATATCGATATGCGGCCCTATACGCCTTAGAAATGTTGTAAATTTTTAGGACTTTATGGATCGATCCTTTCGTCATTTATTTCCAATGTTCACTAATTTTTAGAATTATGGTAAATTTTATTATCATATCACTCATTTACTAAAAGACTAGAATAATTAAATATTCCTGTACGCACAAATATTTGCTCCTAATTATGTTCTTCAGAACATTCAAAATAAGTATAATACACACAGCTAAAACTCAAATAATTTACATTGAATGCTATTTTTATATACATACATATATGTAAATCGTCATTCGTAGCAACTTTTAAGCGATATTATCAAAATATAAATGAATAAAAAATGCCTTAAAATCTAAAGAAAAATCGCTAGATTTCCCGCTAATAGCTAAATCATATTTTTCCCCGCAAAATGGGATTAAAAATCGCTAGATTTGACGAGAAAATAGCTAAATTGGCAACAGTGAATTTAAGCAAGTTGTCAAAGTATATTTTGACAACTTTCAAAATTGTTTATGGAGCCATTTTTAATTGGTTTTTATTTGCTAAAAGTTGAAAAAATAATGAAAAGTGGAAAAAGTAATTTTTAATTGTTAAAGTGCTAAAAAATAAATAATAGAGAAATAAAAGAAAAAAGTGAAAAATAAAATTAGCAGCATATTTTTAATATATATTTAAAAGAATAAATAAAAAAACAAGCTGTAAACAATGAGACGCTGCTGCCTTTGCAAAAAAAAAGACAATCTATCAAAAGGAAGTTTTTTCTCCATTCCAAAAGATGAACGGAGGAGGAAGAAGTGGAGCGAAGCTTGCCAGAAAGAATTCGGGAAAACTGAAAAAATTTGCATGGATCATTTTCATTCATCCTCGTTCATTAAAATTGGTGCGAAAACCGAATTAGTGTATAATGCTGTTCCTTCGATTTGCCTTTTCATAAATGAGACACCAAGGTAAGAACATGTGATTTTTACATTTTGATAAGTGTACCCCAAAATAATTGACCATACAACAAGTGAACCTACAGAAAATATATATGTAAATATAATAACAAGATAGAGTGCTATATTCCTCTACAAAGAATCTTAAATCTTATTCTTATCCTTATTTGTTTGTACTTTAAGTTTGATTAGCTGCACCTGCAGCTAAGACTTCTTGGCCGAATCGAAAGATTATAACGCCAACACCAATTATTCCAGTACGACTGGACAGAATATCAAATTGAGTTTTTTGGTTCTCTACCATAATCAAAATTTAAACTTAGGTTAAGTTAACACGATTGCATATGGTCAACATGCATCTCAAAAACCCGTAACTCGGTACAGTTATTCGACGTCACACATTTGACCAATGCGGTTTGAAACGTAAAACGTCGAAGGCAGAGCAAAAAGGACTGCCTGATTCCCCTTATGCGATAATGGAGCTGAATTACGAATACTTAAACATCCTTAATTGTATAAAATGTGAAAGCTTAAACATTTTGTTTACTCTATTGCAATGAATTGAATTTTGTGCGTTTAAGTCATTTCGGAATGAAGCTATGCCTAATTATGGGCCGAACCGGAAAATATTTCGCAAAATGATTTGTATATATACAAAATATATTCGTGACAAATTTTATACCGATATCATTATTAAGTAATGAATATTAGACTGCTTTCCTATACGTATGGATGCATCGTCAAAGCTGTGTAAAAAGCTAGCAAACAAAAGTAAAATAAGAGATTTCATAAAATTTTTCACAAAAACAGATGCCGTTACCAAAATTAAAGAAAGCCTAGCCGCAGTAAAACGTATTGTATGAAGAGGCAAAGCTTTAAAAAGATGAACAAATTTAAAAATGCCACTCGTAAAGAAAAAAACGTATTCAGTTTGCACGTGAACACATGGGTTATAAAAAGCAATACCTTGTTTTTTTTGGATGAAAAAAGTTTGATTTAGAAAGTCCAGATAGATATAATTACTATTTTTATGATTTTTTAAAGGATGAACTCTAACTGACTTGTCTCCATTGCTGTGAGGGAAGTGGGATGATGTGGGGGACAACTTCATATTATGAAACATGTGAACTTTAATTTCTTTCATCTAGTATGAACTGTAATAATTGTAAGGCCATACTAGAAACAGCTTTTTCACATTTTCTGATATCTTTGTACCCTTGCCATACCATACCATACCGCCAACGCTGTAAAAAGATGTATTGGAAGCCAGAATGTAAAAATTTTGGAACAGCCTCCATAATCTCCTCACTTATTTATTATTGGATATTCTTTCTCGTAAAGTGTATAAGTCGGGCAGACAGTATGACATAAAAGAAGCCTAATCTGAAGGAATTAATAAAAAGGCTTGTGCCGAAATTTCCTTAACATTAATTAAGAATCTTTATAACTATTTATCACCTCGAATTTTCGAAGTTATGTATATCGAATAACGGCGGATATGCACATTACAAAATCTTTTAAAAATGTTTATAAAAATAAAGAAGTTTCAAATATTCAAATGAGCCAATAAATATTGTTCAAAAACGTAGGGTTTTAGAAAAAAATTATTAAAAATCGGTTATTAAGTATTTCACTAATGTTATTTTCTCTAGTGATATATAACACATCATGTTACTATTTCAAATTTTAATATAACTAATTAGCCAATTACTTTTTGCAAACAATTAATTTGAATTAATACAAAACATTCTATATACAACGTTTTATGTATTGACTTGTACACATGAATGAATACTTACCCAGCAAAACAAGTGAGGAAAAAGAAGTAGAATTTTCACCACAAATAACATACTTGAAGTACTTCCAAATTTGGTGAAAACATAAGAATTTTATATTAGCGTGTCATTAGAGGGATGTTGTTCAATTTTGACAACTTTGAACTATATCTAATCTTATTTTTAGAAGCAGTAAAAATCCGATATTTGGATGTAAAAATAAACCACATTCTTTCAATGACATTTCACCAAAATTTGATGTACTTCGAGTATGTTATTTGTAGTGACTTTTCTACATCAGGAAATATTTGGTTTATAAAAGCGAAAAATATGTAATAGCATTTTTAGATGTGTTTAAGATGTCGTTTGTAAAGTATGACATCTATTATTTTTTGCTGGGTAATGATGGGCTACCACTACGATATTGTAACTTTTTAGTATAAAATGTTTATTACTTCAATAGGGAGAAAAAAGTACCAGCAAAAAGTACAAGCAAAATGGTTAGCTTTTGAGTCAGCTCTGACTCATTTGTGGTTAACCATGAGTTAGTTTTAAGTTATCTCAAAATTTGACTGGGTTTTTTAACAAATAGAAAAATAAAAAAAAATTTTAAATATTTTAAGTACAGGCATTTTTATAGCCTGTACTCGTTATACTTTGGCGTTGAGACCAATGATATTTGTTCCAAATTGTCATCTTCGGAACTGGTTCTGAGGAAGCTTTATGGAGTCGACACTCATTCTTTGGAACGGTTCTGGAACTAGTTCTTTAATCAATGATTTTTGTTTGAATTTGACATTTTTTTAATCTGATTCCAAGAAGTTGTTTCGGAACTAGTATGCATTCCATTGAACTAGTGTAGTATCAATGTATAACTAGTGTCAAAGAACTAGTTCCTTGAAAACTCTTTAGAAGTATTTTAGAACCAAAACAATATTCCGAGGAACGGGTTCCAGAAGTAGTGGCGACATCACTAGTTTCAAGGTTGTTGTATAAGAATCTGAAGTGGTTCTGTTTGCACTCGTTCTAGCACCAGTTGTTTTTAGAAAAAGTTCTGAAATTTTTCCTGGGTTATTCTTAAATATTATACACCTTTTATCATTTTAACTTTTAATTTGTTCATACCGTAAAGGTAAAGTATGGCGAATGTGTGTCCATATTTGACCCCAGCATTCTAAGACATTTGCTTTTAAATTTTATCTTACCCAAAAATTGCAAATTAAAAATAGCAATTTACTATTTAGGTTGCATCATTTTAATTCCGAAAATATACCTTCGGAATTTTCAACAGCAGCAGTTGAACAAAATTGCACGGAAATCC